ATTAAAAGCAAACAAAATACTGTGGTACAAACTGCATTTCTACCTAGTGATGTGTTTTAATCTTGACTGTTGTTTCTTAAACTGATTTTGTAGTAGATGATAAAAATACGTTATGTTTTCCTTAAAGATCTTTTTGTGTCCAAAATTATATTTCCAGGGCAGGGTATGATTTTAACAACGTGAAAACAAAATAGGAACCTGGAATATAGTCTCGAACGTTAGTAGTGACTAATGAAATAAATAAACAAAAATTACAATTTTGAAGAATTTACAAGATGGAAGAACCCTTGTCCATATTAAAAAACAATAACTAAAATTGTAAGGCCACCGTAAAAATATATAAACAGTTGTTTAAGGAGTGTTTTTTTATTTCTGTAGGTGCTATTATAGGCTATTGATTATATCCAAAAAAAAAACAAGGTTAAAAGGAACTATGACGTTCAAGCAATTTTATTGCATGAATCGTTCAAAGGGTCATTTTAGATGGAAAAACCGCGGTGTGCTATTAAACTAGAGGGTGGAAATTGGAGATAGGGGTGAAAATGCACCCCTTTCAGTTTTTTAATTGTAGCTCGAAAACGAAATTTCCCTATAGTTCATAGGAAAAATTATTTAGAGAATTGAATTTCCCATCGAAATGGCTTATTTAAAAAATTTAAAAGGAAAATTTTATGCAAAAAATCGTTAATAAACAATATGAAAAAAAAGCAAAAAATTATTTTTACTTTTTTGCCTCTAGTTTTTTTTGAGTAATGATAGGTACCTAGTAGACAAAATTTCCTTAAAAATAAAAGGTTGTAAAGTCATATTTACAATTACCCTATTTTTCGATTTTCGTCGCGTTTATTGCAAAAAAGGAAGGAAATAAGACGTTCAAGGATTTTCATCACATGACTTGTTCGAAGGCTAATTAAAAATGAAAAAACCTGCTATTAACTGCTATTACACTGCTATTAAATTAGAGGGTTGAAATTGAAGATAGGGGTGAAATAGATTTTAGCTGCCTATTGGCCAAACTATTTTTCTATGGAATTCATAATAAATGTCATTAAAATAAATGTTTGATTCCTATATTAAAGACAGAATGCAACTTCTTTATGGTTCTTTATTTTCTCAACCTAGAATAATAAAATCTGGAGTGCCACAAGGCTCTGTCCTGGGGCCTTTACTGTTTAGTAGTAGAAGTACCATTATTTATTATTTTACACAACATTTTTATAAAACAAGTCTATTTATAACCTCAAATAATGTCCTAATACAAATTTTAAAATGAAAATTTCAATTCTGATTTTTACTCTATATGCATAGCTACTTCCCACCTCAAAAATAAAATTTTATTTTAAAATTTATATTAATACATTATTTGAAGTTATAAACAGATTTGTACTATAAAAATGTTGTGTAAAATAATAAATAATGGTACTTCTCTCTTGAGTATTTTCGTGTTTTTTTAATTTACGAGCACCCTGTACATCTAATCTAAGATGTTTGTATAACAGTCTCATTTTTTCGAGGGGCAGAACTTTTTATAAAGTGTGACATTTTTCGATACAGTCAAAAACAGTCATTATTAATAAACTTTATTGTACTTAAATTCTCAAGTTTTTACTAAATTATTTTATTAAAAAAGTAAAAAAATAAAAAAAACTTATTTTTTGCTTTCTCTAAAATTGTTTATTAACGATTTTTTGCATAAAATTTTCCTTTTACATTTTTAAATAAGCCATTCTTTCGGTTTTCGGTTTTTTCATTTTTAATGACCCTTCGAACAAGTCATGTGATGAAAATCCTTGAACGTCTTATTTACTTCCTTTTTTGCAAAAAATGAGAATTAAAACGTATAAGAGTAAACGCGACGAAAATCGAAAATTTGGTTAAGTTTTAGCGGCCATACCTATATCAGACAATTTTCATCCAAAAATACTGTACAACATCTTGTTTTGAAGGAAATTTTATCTACTTTTTTTCTATGAAGCAATGCCTACACCTATCTTTACTTAAAAAAAAATAGAGGTAAAAAGTAAAAAAATTTTTTGCTTTTTTTCAAATTATTTATTAACGATTATTTTGCAGAAAATTTTCGTTTTAAATTTTTTAAATAAGCTATGGGAAATTCAATTCTCTAAATAATTTTTCCTATGAACAATAGCGAAATTTTGCTTCGTTTTCGAGCTACAATTAAAAAACTTAAAGGGGTGCATTTTCACCCCTATCTCCAATTTCCACCCTGCGGACTTTGTGTCGTCAGTAGTGCACACTACTTTGCACATGTATGCAGATGACTTACAAATTTTGTACAGCTTCGAAATTGAGAATAATCAAACTTCTGTTGATTTTATTAATTCTGACCTGCATCGGATTAAGGATTTATGCGATAAAAATGATATAATGCTTAACCCAAAAAAATGTAAAAACCTGGTTATCGGTACTTATCAAAAAACTAGACAGTTGGGGGATTTTGCTGTTTATATTGACAATTGTCATTTGAAAAACTGTAGTTCAGTAAAGAATCTGGGTCTTGTATTTGAAAATTATCTGAAATTCTCACAACATGTTAGTGAATTATGTAAGAAGGCGTTCATCTCTTTTAAGGAAATAGCGCCTTTAAAACGTTATTTGAGTTCTGACATTAAATTAGTACTGGTTGAATCCTTAGTTTTGTCTCATCTAAATTACTGTGATTATGTTTATGGTCCTTTACTTACAAATGCTGATAAATTTAAACTGCAAAAAATTCAAAATTGGTGCATGCGTTTTGTCACACATATACCCTTTCTTCACCTTGTTACTCCTTTTATTAGACAGTTTGGTAAATTAAGACTCGATGAAAGAGGCTATGTTCATTTTTGTGTTTTTGTAAATAATATACTGTGTAATACAACTCCTGAGTATCTTTATGAGAAGTTGGTTTGGCGACATGATCGTCAGCTTCGTAATTTACATGATTTGCAAATAATGCGTCATCGAACTGAGTATTTTAGAAAAACATTTACCTATTTAGCAGCTATGGTATTAAATAATGTACTGGTGCCTCAGGACTTAACACTCCGTAATGCACTTCTGATTAAGAAACGCATTCGTGAGTTGGTCATGGAAAACGATAACTCCACAAATGCTGCTGTTTTTTAGTTTTAGTTTTTTGTTTTTGACTTGAATGAATATTATGCGTATGTGTATGAGTGTGTGTCTGACTATACTACGTATTTGTATGTGTATTGCACAAGCATGCATGAGTGTTATATAAGTTATATTGTTTTTTACACTGTTTTATAACTTTATAATCATATTGCTTTCAATATGTGTGTGAGTTAATTGACTTGACTTTCTGAGTGGTAGGCTAATCGTCAGTTATCTGTGTCTAGTCCTTTTTTGTATAAGTTGTATACTGCCATTGTAACTATGTACAATAAATATTTTTGACCTTTTTGACCTTTTTTGACCTTTTGAAAACGCACTTTTCCAGTTTTTTAAGTATAGCCCGAAAACGAAGCAAAATTTCGGTATAGTTCATAGGAAAAATTTTGTAGAGAATTGAATTTTCCATCGAAGGGCTTATTTAAAAAATTTAAAAGAAAAATTTTATGCAAAAAATCGTTAATAAACAATTTTACGAAAGAACGAAAATAAGTTTTTTTATTGTTTTTACTTTTTTGACAAAGTTGTGAAAATCTTTATTTATTATTAACAAATAAAACTTTTGAAATAATTTTTTATTGAGTAAAGAACCAATTTGTTGTAAAAATAATAAGAAATATAATCATTATTATGTTAAAAATCTAAAAAATATTTAAGTTTGACCGGTTATAACTCAGTCAATATTAGTCCAAAAACTTTTGGAAATACATCATTTTGAAGGGAATCTCATCTAGTTTTTTTGTACAGCAATTTTCTTTGCCTACTTCTACTAAAAAAAATAGTCAAAAAAGAAAAAAAATCAAAAAATCTTATTTTGTTAATGTATCAAAAAGTAACATATAAACACTGGTATTAGCATACTTACTTTGGGGTAAAACGTTTTAGTTTTAGGAATTCGGAAAAAAACAAAAATTTTTTGTTAACTTTGATACCCTCTAACCGCCAAATTATTTGGATAGAGATGAGTTTAGTTAAATAACCTTATTTTTACCTTAAAAATCCATGTACGAAATGTTGGCACACCCTATTAATATATGTAATATTTCCAAATCACCAAATACTATACTTGTTTTTTTTAAAGAGTTATAGAGAGCCTTCAGTCAGAGTGCGCTACATTTAAGCCCAGACAGGTGAAAGTGTACTATTTAAGCAGATCTCAAGCATCTGCTAAACAATTGAATATTTAAGATCAAGTTCAAGACTAAATTGACTTTCACCTCGTAATTTTTAAACAATTTGTTTAACAGTTTAGTCTAATTTCTAGGTTATTTATTATACAAATCTTAAAATCAAATACAAGTCGATAAAATTAAAAAATATATTTTATCTGACGCAAGAATAGCTACAATATATTTATTTTATGATCACAATAATGAGTAAATTTAACTCTAAAAACGAAACTCAACTGTTAACTTCAACACACCAGTTGTGTATATCCAATTATGTTCAAGTGTTCGTCTAAAACTACTAAAGAATCTTTAACATTGGCATTTACTTAAATACCACTGAGTAAGCAGACATCATATAACTTTTATTAATAATAATGGGTAGATATTTCAAGTAATTAACATTATATTCGCAAATATTAGTTTTTTCAAGACATCTAGGTGGCTATAAAGTGAATGATTTTCAGTGTTTATGTAAAATTTAAAAAAATATGTTTATTCTAATGAACTCATTAGTTACCTACTTAATAAATTCATTTTTACGCCCAAAATGGGCAGCATTCAAATATTACATCTAAAGATAATTCAATTGAGAGTCGTCAGTTTTACATTTTAGAGGAAGTGAAGAACAAAAGGAAGGCATGGCTCTTTTGTCTTTCCTTTATGTACGCTCCTGGTCAAATTAATTTAACTTCTTACCCTTTTCAGCATTTCTCCTTTTCTCGTGCAGGAACAGCTCCTACTGGTGTTCGTTCGTTCGGAGTCTTGGTAGTCTGGAGTTGTGCCATGCTGAACCAGGACGTTGAGACACTAAAAAATATATGTGCATAAGTGTCAACAATATGCATAATCTAATCTATAAAAGTTACATAGCGGACGTCTTAATAGAATATATTGGAATTAGGATAGCATTACTGATGTAATATCACTTATGGATTACTTTAGCTGTCGTAACAGGAAGCTATAATTAGCTTACAGAAAAGAAAGTGGTTACATTAAAAAAACTACATTATGAATGACAATTCACTATTATACCTAATGAAAATGAGTTATTAGTTTTTTGATTTGTATTTAGCTAATAAATTTTAAAGTTAATATAGAGAAGATAAGAAACTGATTTATTCAAATTGTTTATAGTCTGAATTAATATATCCATAGAGTATATTATTGGATCCTACGTTCAAATATTGGTAGAAATTGTAGTAAAAGAATTTTTTTAATAATTTTTTAACAAATTTGATTTTGAAGAAATGTAAATTATGTCTACTTTTTACATGGCATTTAGCGCTTTGCTACAAATTAGCGATTCGCAAAAATGATAATCTTATTCTTTAAATTATTTATTTTAAAGAAGTTGCTCAAATTTGCATCCCTGTGCCACAATATTATTATTATTTCTCTCAATTTTTTATATTCTAATGAAGAGAAACTACGGCTGAATTTATTTCGAAGAGTTGTCTTAAAGAATTTTCAACTTTTTTTCATTTGCATAACGAAAACGAAGTAGTCGAAGACCCCAGCAAAAATTAACAGCTTTGTGTTTATTTAAGATCCATCTAAAGACAAAACCAAAAAAGACTGTATAAGCCTTTTAAAATGTTCCGTGCTTTGACTTACCTCGACTTGTTGGTTTTCCGCTGCATCGTTTATTGGACTTTTTCCAAATTTGTCCAATGATAGACGAGCTCCGTGTTTGAGTAACCATCGGACAGTGTCAAGATGGCCCCTGGATGCTGCAAAATGCAATGGAGTTGCTCCGTCTCCATCTCTCAAATTCGGATCAACTCCTTGATCTTGAATCTGTAAAAAAGTACGAGAAACAAATAGACAAGGAAAAGTAAATCGCAGGTTTAGAGCTAAATGTTGCAATACGCAATAAAATCCTGTTTAATATTTGGAAAGATAAATAAAATGATCAAATACAAAAATCAAGTTGGATATCCGGAAATGAACGGGGCAGCTTCCGTAGCCGAAAATAAACTGATTTCAGTTAACTCCGTCATATTTTAAGATATTTTAATAAACATTTATATACAAGGGTATTTGAGATAGTTGAAGATAAATGTAGGCTTATCTTTTACTGAAAATATAAAGGTTAGTGAAAATTCCTCAAATTGTCTTTAGTTTTTTATATATTTTTTTAATTTGTGTTTTTGAGAAAATGCAGGATCTTAACAAAACGCAGATACTTGATTCTATACGTTGCATACCAAAGCGCGTATACAAAATATTTGGGGGTTAACATCTAATTGAATAGACTCCATCTCATAAAAATATAGCTGACTCAATCTAAATCAAATCTTAACCTTCATGCCACTGGCAATGCTGTTACTAAATGTTATATAAAATAATGGACCTACTATACGTCCTTGCGGAACACCTGAGGTTTGACAGAGAAAATCAGATTTGAAATAATGATATTGTACCAATTGATAACGATTCATAATGTAAGACAAGGAAATAACAGGAAGTTATGATAGACCTGACATTCCTCATCAATAATTTGAAATAAATTTTCGGTTTTGTACACAAGATTCGACATGGAGGAGCAGCGTTGTATAAAACCAGGTCCTTCTGAATTAATCAAATTAGATATGTGATGTGAAATATATGAGATACGAATTAGCAAAAATCCAAACCTAATTTAAGGTGTTCTTGTCTACCTTTATATTTTATGTAAAAAATAAGCTTATTCATAATATTGGCGAAAGCCTCAATAGCTATACCAAATTTAAATAGAATATTTTCAAAAGAAACAAGTTATCTTAAAAAAATTAAATAAAGAAAATGGTTAAAATGCTACTAGGTTTAAAAAGGTAAAGATTTATAAAAATAATTTCATTCAACTCAAGTTATTTTCTACAAAGAAGCAACCCTTGAAGAAGTATAGTCCCGTTTCCGAAAATCTTGTACGTACAAACATTGTGCATTCTTAATTTTGAATAAATCTCTTTCCAGTTTCCCAATAAGTACCTATATCGAAAGAAGCGTATATTATTCCTTTTTTTTAAATCATAAACATTTTATTGAAAACTATGGTCCAGTATAAAAATTATGTATTATAGCCTAACTTTCGAATATTATATTATCCATGATTTCCTATAATACCTGTTATGTAACAAAAATTTGTAGATAGTAATCTATATGTATATCTAGACTATATCCTTATGAAGCGTCATTACAAGTACTCGTAGATGCTATTTACACGAAATTTAGTTTGATAAGGTAGATCATCGAATGATATTTCATAAACTTGCTGGTGTCAGGGGGTTTCTACCCTTTTAGTTTCAGTCGTATCTTTCAAATAAATATCAAGCTGTTAATTAAATAAATTTTTAATTTGTAACTTGTTTGTAACTTTAGTCCTTCAGTGGTCTCACTTAGGTCCTTTGTTACTTAACCTATAAGTACCTAGGTATGTAATGATGCAACTAAATATGTTCTCTATTTTTTTTTTCATTATCTATGCCTGGCCACGTCACAACAACCCGTAAAACTATGGTACTTTAAATAAGTAATATATAATCCAAAATGAATGTATAAGATATACAAATCATAATCTCTATCCTGGCACTGTAGGAATTTTTAAAATTTAAAGGGGGTCAAATTTGTTATCGGTCCTGTACCTATAGGAGACATATAACCAATATTGCGTTTATTTACGAAATTATTAATAATGTAATTGACTCAACTGCAATGCAATAAACAATGCATTAAAAAGAATTTAATTTTTCATTAAGAAACTATACGACAAGGTTCTAAATGTAAGTAAAGTGTACAGAATTTACTGAAATATAAAAATAGGAAAACATTTACTTTTAAGACGTTTCGAAAGATTAAAAAATAATGATGACTGTACATTCATATTTTTAGACAAGCATAAAATAGCAATTTCTTTTAAGTACGTCATTTATTGATGAATTCTTAAATTACCAAAATTGCTATAATAATCCCAAGGAGATTTATACAGTATTATTCTCAAGTGTGATTAAAATTTTCATTCTAATATAAGTGAAATATAACATTATTATTATAAATGTAATTAACTATTATTAATGAAGATAGTTACCATCCAGCTTTAGGTATAAATATTGATTTAAAAGGGAGCATAGGAAAAAACCCAACTAAGGATAAGAATTACAAATATAACTTTAAGAACGCTAATTTTTTATTACTTAGTCAAAGTATTAGAGACACTAATTGGGAGGGGGTTTTGAACAGTAACAATGTGGATATAGCCTTAAAGCTGTTTTATGAAATTATAAATTCAATATTTGCACAATGTGTACCTAAATATAAATTTAATCCTAACTTTAAAAAATACCCTATATGGTTTACTAATGATATAAAAAAATTGTTAAAAGATAAGAATGTATATAGGAAGAAAAAAACTTCTTCAGATACATTTATGCAAAAATACATCGAAGTAAGAAGGAAATTAAAATCTATGATTCGTACAGCTCATCAAAATTATATCCGTGACATAGAAAATAAAATTAGTTCTGACTCTAGGTATTTTTGGTCATTTGTTGATAAAAGACGAGGTAACAGCAATTACAATGTTCAAACGTACGAATNCAAAAAAAACAATATTTTAAATGGCGAAATTAAAATAAAATACCTTATAGACTCGTAAATCATATGCCAGGTTTCAAAACATTGATCTTACCTGTATTTTGCAATCAGACGTATCACGCGAATATAAATATTTATAAAATTCGCTTTTTCACTTCGCTAAAAATCAGGAAAACTTGAAATTTAAATTTTGTATGATACAATTTTCACCAATCGATAAACTTTTTTATTTATGATTTTTTTATATACATGCAGCGAAGAAAATGAAGCCCAAACACTACATAAATTTTTGAAATAATTAGTTTTTTCCTAAAGCATATATTAAGCTTGGCAACAGCGATTGTTTCATAGCGCGCGAAAATGATGCATGCAATTGGGCGTGTCCAACGTAATGTGTAATCTACACTATCGACATTGTGTATGGCGGGATTTGGAGTAGGTACGTGTGGTGTGTAATAATCATCAGAATAATTAAGTTTTTTAAGACAATGGAGTGCATTATTTGTAAGAAAACTGTAAGGGATGATGACAAATCTTTAATACAAAAACCTAGAATTCAAGGTTTGTTGTCACTAATATCTAGTGCTGAAAAAAGACAAGACAATCGCGCAAAAGAAATTATGTCAAAAAAAAAACGATATTTTAAATGGCGAAATTAAAATAAAATACAATTTAGATCGACTGTCGTAAAGCATATACTAGTTTTCAAAACATTAATCTTAGCTGTATTTTGCAATCAGACAGTGCCGCCGGTCCCTCAAATTGTTCTGGAACTCGGATAAAATCGCATACTTTTGATATTAGAAAAATGTGCCTAATTTGCAATAATAGTGGAACCAAAAAGAAGAAAGGTTTGATATCTGTTCAAACAGGTAATTAAATAATTTTAAATAATTTTTTTAAACAGTTTTCTGACAAATAATGCACTCCGTTGTCTTAAAAACTTAATATGTTCTGATGATTATTACACACTGCTTATTAGGCACGTACATACCTACTCCAAATCCCGCAAGCCGTACACTATGTAGATTACATATTACGTTGGACGCCCCATGCATCAGTTTAGCGCGCTATGAAATAATCGCTTGTTGCCAAACTATTAGCTTTAGGAAAAAACTAATTATTTCAAAAATTTATTTAGTGTTTGGGCTTCATTTTCTTCGCTGCATGTATATAAAAAAAAATCATAAATAAAAAAGTTTATCGATTGATGAAAATTATATTACACAAAATTTAAATATCAAGTTTTCCTGATTTTTAGCGAAATGAAAAAGCGATTTTTATTAAATCCATTAGTACTGTTAAAGCGCTATTGTGTCTGCTTTAATTTAAAAAAAATTACTCTGATAGTACAATTACTTTTTGAGATATAACGGTGGAGACCTTACAAAACATATTCTCATAATTTTTTTTTTATTTTTTCGAAATTAAAAAGATCCCGACCAACAAAAAATGTCGTAAAATACCTTTCATATGCCCAACCACATGCTTAATAAAGCCTACCATGTCTGACCTGGTTCTACGCCAGTTTTTTTTATTTCGATAACTAAGCGACTTAGCGTTGCGATTGCGCTCGTCTATTTAAGTACGTCAATTATTGATGAATTCTTAAATTACCAAAATTGCTATAGTAATCCCAAAGAGATTTAAACAGTATTATTCTCAAGTGTGATTAAAATTTTCATTCTAATATAAGTGAAATATAACATTATTTAATGTGTAACAATCGGGAGAGATAATATTGTTATCGGAGCAATTGTCAAAGTTTCGTCGGCTCATTCCGCATTCATATTTCTCGTAAAATATGCCATAAACACCACGGACTGTCACTAACAACGCTGTATACATAATAGCTGCAAGAGTCGTTAGATGCTCACCATCCACTTAACACAATTCAGACAACCCATTTGACTAGCGGCGTGGATTGGGGCCATGCCATCCTTTGCTCGGACGTACAGGGAACCACCTGCTTCCAACACTAAAAACTTCAGCACTTCTAGGTGTCCCTCTTGTGCAGCCAGGTACACAGGTGTGACGTCATTGTCCATCTGCGTGTTGGCACTGGAATGAGAAACAAAGTCGTTAAGACGTCGTTGTGCTTTTCTTTGTCTGTACTAATGGGTCTGATTAAAAATATCTTCCTGTGCGCTGCAGGTAGCTAATTAAAACATATTTTGCTAAATGCAGTGTCGGGAAATGTGGGGGGATAGATATATTTTATGGAATTGTATAATATATTATACGTGTAGCATATTTTACCAGGAAGTGCACATTAAATTTTCCACGGAAAAGTAAAAAAATAAAACAAGTTTATATAAATCTTGATTCGTTATCCAGATATGGACATTTAATTTTTTTGAAAAAATATATTTTTTATATTTTAAGGATTCGTAATGGTAACTTGACAAAATTTGATAGAGTTGTACCTACATTTGGTACTGACAAAACCATGCTAGAATTTCAATTGCCATTGCAATAGATATAGTGGGTCAGCCCATTTTGTGAAGCGTATCTTCTATAGCCATAACTTTTTTTAAATATTTATGCATACTTAGCTAAAGTAACACATTTCTAAGGAAATTACTCTTACCAATTTCTCATATTTTTATAGACTGGTGTAAACTGTATAATAATGACTGAACTTTCTACACTGAAAGAAATGGGCTTATCAAACTGTTTATCTAGAAGAATGTGTATAGCGCATATTAAAACTTTTATAACCAATATACAACTTTTATTAAAAAAAAGCAATCATCTCCATACTCATTATTCAATGAGTTTAACTGGAAGGTGCTTAATACACCTTATGCATCTATGAAATAAAGGTTATAATGAATTACTTATACATTATTAGGTGTTATAGACTTTATATTCCAATTGTATAGTAGGGAATAATTTGTATATAACAATTGTATTAACAGAATTATTCGTTCTTATACTGAATATGTTTCCGTTTTTAACGTGTAAAACGCATCTTATAATGGTTAAGTGATCGTCACCTCTCGATGCATAATCGGTTATGATCGTAAAATTTCCGACAGTCCGCTGTGCATCGACTTATGACTATTACACGTCTAGTTTGATGAAAATATACAATACAAGTACAGGCACATGTGTTGTGGGATACATGATCATATCGCGTTGTGTGAAATGGAAAATTATGTAATATCTAACTGTTTTATGGCTTGTAATTGTTTCGTTTTTTCAAATGTAAATCTTGTCTAAATCTTAAAAATTATTATTTTGTATGCCCTATTAGAAACCGCTGATGTTAAGTTTTATATAAGATGAAGGAACAGAAAGTTAACGGTGACAAGGAAGAACATGAGTACAAAGTCAATCAACCAGAGGAAATAGAATTAGATGGAAAGAAGCTCAACTTTTCAGGGGATGCTTCATTCTTGAGGTGGGAGAGTTATTGTGCAAATTCTTATGTAATACAAGAAAATACGGGTGCATCGTTGCTAAGAAAATAAACTGGACAGTTTTGGGAGCGATTTGTCATCATTTTTAATACTTAAATGTATGTTTTATACTTACATTAGAACCTTAGCTTGTAATTACAGTTATCCAATAAAATTTCTGAAAACTTAATGTGATATGTTTTTAACTCATACAGAGTATAAAACAGTTTAATACATTGATTATTATAAAACTTATAACCAGTACTAGATGTTTTAATAACGATATGGAACATTTTAATAACAGTTATTGCTATTATTTCGTAAAGGGTATAAAAAACGTATCCTAGTTATACAATAATTTAATAAAGAATAAGGTTTATAGTCACTATACAACTGTGCTAGCAGTACGCGTTTTATATCCAATATTCACCTGTTTAACTGTCACATATAGTATACAATGGTCTTATAATGGCATATAGAATTCTAATAAAGAATAAAGCACATTTCTTTCAATGTAGAAATTAAATTTCAAATACGATGTAAATATGATAATAATAAAAATATTTAAAATTGCTATACCAATATTTTTTTTCTGATGACTACTTGTATATATGTATATAAATAACTAATATGTGGCCCATTAATCGCATACAGCAGAAGGTATCTTTATCTTAGATATACCAACTGGAATTAAATACACTTATCCAATTCATAAAATATTCAGTGGTGTCGAAATTCTAGGGTTCTTAGAGACGGTATCTCCAAGCATCTGCGCCTATGATTTGTGTAATGATTCAGCAAATGTTTGCCCATAATTAGTTAAATCATTGCCCCAAGTTTTATTTTTTATTATTCCACTTCAGAATTTTTAATAGATTCTATCATCAGATATTTGACGTGTGCAATTGACAACACCCTGTACGTACCATTGTATATTTTTCAGTAAACATTATTAGAATTGTCGTAAAAAAAAATCCATTGTTGTTTATAAGACAAGTAATATGGGTGTTTTTTTTTTTTAGATAGTAACAGAAAATGAAAAAACTGCCCTTATTGTTTTATTTTTTGTGAAATCACTATTTAACTGGCAATTAAAAAATATATAAAACGAATTTGGTGGACAGTTGTGACGTAGGTACTAAACTATGCCTTAATTTCGTCTATCAATGGGAAGCTGAAGACAGAGAGGAGTTACTTAAATAAGAAGCTTTCTGTAATAACAACATCCATATAGTTAAGTACTCGTACATAACAAGTTGAATTACGATTTTTTAAATAAAACTACAGTCCGTACGATATTTATTAAGATAAAATTCTAAGAAAAGAATAAACCAATAAAGTTCTGTTATGGGAACTACTGTAATTTACCATGGCAGGGGCGTACATTTAAAGTTTTCGCCAATGTCTTTCTACCTGAGGTCCAAGAAGTGACGCAGTCTTAGAATTACATCTCAATAAATATCGTACGGTAACATTCAATCATGAAAGGCTACACATTTTCTTGATGCAAACACCCCATTGTGTGTAGATTTACTATTTTTTTTCTTGTTTTAATTGTTTAAATATATATCTTGCATTCAATAGAAGTTATTTCCACAGAGGTGGAGAGAACTAAAATATGTCACAAATGATTTCAAACTGTAATTTTTATTTTTTGCACAGGTGGCAAAATATTCAAATACACCGAGAAACATAAATTAAGTTTATGTAAATTAGTTAGATAAAGAATAATATAGTAACTACCTAGTTTATATTGATCAGTTCAGTGAAATTATCATGCATTAGTATTTAGTGCCACTTCTGAGTCTACAAAAAATAATTTGAAATCCGTGATATTGAATTAAATTATAATAAAAAATGTAAACCAGTACAAATTATTTTGTTTCTTCGAAAATACAAAAAAAAGTAAATTTGCAAATAATTGAAATTATCATTATTAAAATTCCATATCTTTATAATGAAAACAACAAAAAAAACTAAAACATTTTTAGATTTCTTATCTGCATATATAATTATTATGTTGATATGTTTGTTACCTAAAGATAGTTTTATTAAAAATATACTATCCTTTGGAAATAGTATCATACGTGAAAATTATTTAAAAAAATTTCCAACTCTCATTCGGAAATAAAAACAATAACAAAAATGTGTTTTAATGAATAATAAAGTAAGGGTAAAACAAGAATAACATTTCCATGTCCTTTTAAGACTATACATATATTTAATAAATGATAAAAAGTAAATGGAAAACACCTTGCACGAGAACCCAATGTTGCTAGCTCTTTTTCCACGGTCTGAATTATAAAGGATGTCTTAAAAGACACACAGAATTTGAATTGTGCGCCATTTTCATTCTGAAGAGTTGGCAGCATTGTTCAGGGTCACAATGTTGTAGTAAACACGTTGAACGAGTCAATATTCTGAAAATTCATTACCAGTACGGATAGTGTGTAGCTGAGACTGTGCGCAAGGTACTTGAAATTTTCGGTAGAAGGAAAGTCCCGAATAAAACAACTGTGAAAAGAGATCAGTTGCCAAATTTCAAAAAACCGGTTCGAATGCAGACAATAAAAAAAACAGGCCGATCTCATACTTGCCGTTCAGCCGAAAATATTGCTACGGTGAGTGATAGTGTGGCGGAAATTCCACATTTTAAAAGGCAATGAATGCAGCGGATTTTAACAAAAGGATGAAGATGCAGAAATTTTTTGAATATAATTTCAATTTATTTCACGTTTTATTCTTTTTGTCTAACTTTAATTGAGTAATTATTCATATATTTCACTGAAAGTCTGTTTTAGGTTTAAATGTATCAGTTTCTAACTGTAAACAGCAATTTTACAAAAAAGATACTCAGCAAAATATATTACCTTGTAGTTTACAATTTTATTTAACCATTGAATTTTGAATACAATACAATTATAGGGCAAATCTAATCATGATGCGAAAATGAAAAAAAAATAATATAATAATAAGCAATTAAATTAATTTATATTGGATTATAATAGAAAATTCAAATGTCCAGTTTCTTACTAAATTAGTTATCTGGCTGCTGCGTCTTTTAGAAATACTTATTATATTTTAAGCAAGCAATCTGTAATTGTTCTCGGTATTTTCAGATTAATAAATTAATTAATATTTTTTATTCCAGCTTCATTTTAGCGTTTCTTGAAAAATGTTAAACTAATTTCAATAATCATGTAAACATATTTATTAGTTATTAATTAATATTAAGTTTTTTCTAATTGCAATGTCGCATTAATAATAAAATTATGATTAAAAATGTAGAATAATTATTTTGATATCCATTAAAATTATTTAAAAAAAATAAATCAATTAAATGTAATGTAATGTAATTATGGCTCAACATTCTATTGTACCCAATAGAAGTTGAATTTAAGAAGTACCTAATATAGAAAAAGTAAATTAATAAACATGAGTAAGTAATAAGTAATTTAACAAAAAAAAAAAATGCTATTACACACTTTTTAAACAACAAAATTTTTCATTTAAAATATTCTTAAAAATTAAAAAAAATTGTGGTTTTATCTGCAAGACTTTTAATTACAAAATTATATGTACCTGTACATTATCTATATTTTTTATGTAGATACATATGTTGTTCTAATTCTTTCCCCTGTTGAAATAAACCGAAAT